AGGTTGCTTATCCTTCCATGGCAGCCGATGCCTCCTGGAGCTGGCAGGGGTTGAGATCGCCAGGGGCAAAAAGCAAGACCCAGGAATCCCTGATCACCTACTGAAGGCCTTTTGGAGACATCTGTGGTTGTGGGGTGGAGGCTGGAAAGAGACCTCCAAGGTAGTTTTGGCAACACGGTCTATAAAAAGGAATTCCACCATAACCAACCTTTTGTAGTAGATGAAGAGGCAGGAAGATTTCACCTGCCAGGTCCATTATTCACACAGCACGTTCACTAGCCCTGCCAACCTTTCTCCTGTGTGCACAGAAGAGAACCTTCACTTCTACATGGCTGGAAGTGATCAGGTTTATTCTGAAGAGAGAGTTCTTTTCAAAGGCTTCTACTCAGCATCAGCTAAGAAAACGAAACATAGGAGATTAGCTTGGGCCAGTATGGAGTAAGCCACTCTGGGAGCCTTTTCAGCTAAAAAACAGGAGTGGAATAACCTCCAAAAAACAGGAGTGGAATAACCTCCAATAAATACTTTATTACCACTCCAGGAACCTAACTTAGACTGATCTCACTAGTACAGCGTGGTCCTAATGTGATTGGGTTCATTAAAGATATGAAGCAGTTACTCCTTTTTGGTGGGAAATGACAACTGGGTCGCTTTTTGAACGTTAACAGGTTTATTTAGTTTAACATTAGGTGAGTCTACAACAACTTCTATTGGTTCAAAACAACTAAGATCTGGTAACTGTCCAAATTGAGAGGACGATACCTCTGTATGGAAATTGACAGGATTCATTAAGGGGCTGGCCCAAAACGTTCCTGATCGGTGGGCTTCCTCAGCGGAGCACTCCGGACCACGCCTACTATCCCACAACAAGGGTATCTGGTCCAATCTCCCTTCGGTGCTGGGTGGTTGAAGGAAGGGTCCGGCCAAATCACCTTCCTTGAGGGACCTTGTCCCCATGGAAAGTTCACGACCGTCCATTCTAGAGCTTCTGCTGATGTCCCCTTTTCTTTAGACTTGTCCAGGTCAGGTAGCAAGCCTCCTACCTTCAAATTAGGGAAGTCCTCCAACGGCCCATGCATTCTATCACACTTGTATTCTCTTCTCTCTCCCTCTTTTTCCTTTCCTTCTTTTTCTCTCCCCTTGGTATACAGAACTGTCTCCCAATTTGCTCCCCTATATCCTCCCCCAACACGGCCAAAATTAACTCCTCCTCCCCTTCTCCTTCTCTCTCTTCCACTAGACAGATTTCAGTCTTCTCCCTTTGATTCCCTTCTTTTCCCTTCCTCCAGATTCAGCTTCTCACTTTCCATTGTCTTCCCTACTTCTATATCTCTCTCCCACTCAGACGTCTCTAGTGGAGGGGACGGCTCACTCTGTTCTTTCTCCTTTGGGTCTACCGCTCCTCCACACCTAACAAAACCACAAGCCAGCTAAGGAAGTCTTGAGCCTGTAGTAGCAGATCTCTCAAAGGCCTAAACACAGAATCTGCTCCTATCTAAAGATCTAAGATATCCCGAAGGGAATACATTACCATCTACCAAGGAATAGTTATCTCTGCTGCTGCAATACATACTTTAGTACTTTAGCCTTTCTTGGTGTGAGGAAGGGTGAGAGTACATACTTTAGTCTGAAAAAGTAGCCTTTCTTGGTGTGAGGAAGGGTGAGAAATAGAAAGGTCAGACAGACAGAAACTACATCTCAGGTTGTAGTCCACAAATTAAGAAGATGTAGCAGCTGGGGCTGACTTTGCCCTGCATCATTCAAATTTAGTAACAGACCAGTATACAGATCTCGAATACACACACTCTGGTTGTGCCATCATCTTAGCTACCAGTCCCTTAACTGTGCTCCAAGTTAAAAGTGGGCTTCACAAACCAGGGGGTGGCGCCAGTGTTGGCCTGCATTGTTAAGCCAACCTGTGTTTGTGATTACTGTCCACCCCTCTTCTGAGTCCTCCCCCATGCATAGAAATATTGGAATGGACACTGGGTCTTCCTTCCTTTCTTTCTTATGAAGGCCAACATTGAGGAGTCCGCAACGAGGAATTCCCAGAGAGCTGCATGTCCTGCTTACTTGTCCTGAAGAGACTTGTTGAGGCAGGAGGCCTCCAATGCCCTAAACAATCCCACACCGCAAGGACCAAGCACGTGAGCAGGGTTTGAGGAAGTGCTGTTCTCTGAACAGGTCCCCCCATCTAGGAAACTGCACCCAAGCCACATGTCAAAACTGCAAAGACGCTCTTGTTCTTTTCCCCCTTTGTATCCCACCTCAAGTGACTTGGCAAGCAGAACTTTTCAAAAAGCAACCTTTCTTTTCCTTCCCTTCTGAATGAACCCTAGACTAAAGGAGTCTCTGATAACCCTGGATTTTCACAACATGCCTAGTTTATTCAACATTAAACAAATACGCTCCTCTAGCCACTAAGCACTTACAGTGGTAGCTCAGGAAAACTCATGGCCCCGATCAACTTTTGTCTGCTTAACACATTTACTGACAGAAGAATTCACCTGAAGGCAAAACATGCAGAGTTACTTCATGATCTACAAAGTGGATTATGCCTCCAACGTTTCTTTTATTTTTTTCTGGACATTTTTAATCAAGAGATACTCGCTGCCACCTGAACAAACCAATTCACCTCAAAAACAGGTATATGTTCACAGCAAGAAAAAATGAGGCACATACCCTTTCCTTGATTAGAGAGACAACTTGAAATTTTTACCAGCCTGTTCAACAGAAGACTTTTCAGGAGTGACATCAAGAACAGGGCTTGATATTTCTTGTGTCCTCGCTCCAGCATTAAGGACTAGCACCAATTTGACAAAGAATGAAAATAGTCAGAGGAGAGGCGCTTTAGGACAGCCAAGAGAGCCACAGCTTTGATAGTGAAATGACAAAAGCACGACTATTTTACAGTCATACTAAGCAAAGTGCTTCTGTGAGCTCCTAACAGCACACTGCACCACATCTGTAGTAGTCATTAAAGATCTGCTCAGAACCTGAAGGGTTATACATCTGAGATTTATTCTGAAATTCTATTGGAAAACCAATTTGTCTTAAAGAACATAAACTTAGGAAATAAATTTCAGTTCTGCAACAGAATCACCCTGCCTAATATGCGTGCTTACCATACACAAACGATCCTTTGAGCTAATGGTTTAATATACTCTGAAGTACAGCCCACCCAAAACCCAGGATTTAGGGTGAACAGCTGCTGCTTCATGTAACAGGATAGGCACATGGCACAACGGAAGTTTAAAAGCTAGTATTACAATGTCACACACACACACATACACACATACATATCCAAAAGCATTTCACAAAAATACATGAATCAGTTTTGTCTGGAAGTGAGCCCCCTGGCACAAAGGCATCCTCCATGGGACAAGTACATTATTCTTATTTAATTTGGAAACTTCACTGGTGACCTGCTTTAATGATACATAAAAAAAGGACCAATCAACAGTAACAATAAAATACAGTGCTTCTCCACAGACTGTACCCATCCAAGCTGCTTTTTGGAACAGACACGCTTTGTGAGCTGCTGGATGAGAATAGGAGAATGCACCAGTCACATAACCAGCTGCTTTTAATGCAAGGCACTTTCAGCACAAGGTATTTTTAACATGCTACTGGCCACAGAAAGCAACGGTTGGATGCTCTGGCTATGTGGGAGGGCTGGCGGATTGATCAGCGTGGCATAGAGTTTCACGTTACCCTGATTTTTTTTTAATCCATCACCATCCCCCATTATCAAGTAAACCCAAAGACTTATAATCTTCTCTGACATATAAGTGGGTCTGATCTTCCTTGGCACAAAGCAATTTTCCCCTCCGGTGTTTCATGATACCAGTTTAGAATGTCCTTTTCAGCTTCAAATTCATGGCAGAGACTGTAAAATTTGTAGAGACTTTTCAGAAAGATGTAAGCAACTTCATGCTTGAGAAGCTGCTATTTATTTTAAACTACAATAATACATGCTCTTAAATTAAAAAAAAAATTAACACTGAGGTGACCTGTATAACAAATATGGGTTGGGAGCTGACTTGTCCATCAATTAAATAGCCAACAAACAAAAAAAGCTAAAAGCATCAAGATGACAAATCTCATTGACATAACACCTAAAGAAAGCTGCCTGAATCAAGACTGATTATTTCATGCTCTATGGATAAATGCCAGAAAAGATGATATCCCTATCACAGCTCATTGACTAATGAGTATTAGTAAACCAAGTTAACTTCTCTCTTTGGCATTCATTTTGGACATGCCATGTGCTATTCTCAATGTCAGGCAGAAACAGAGACCTTGCCCATGAAAAGACTACAGCACCTTTTACAGATGAGAAACACCACAGCTAATCAAGGCAACTGTAGCAGCACCAATGTTTGAGATTTGACTTTGGCTTTAAATTTCTTCCAGAATAACTACATAACCATTACTGGAGTTAAACACTGCAATCAAAGGAAGACAGAGCCCCATGATTTCACGCAAAGGGAAACACACACACACAATACAGAAATGGCACTCTGATAGGTATTACATATGCATCTACTCATGAAATGTATGGAGAAAAAACCATAGAAAGGACTGTGCACCAGTTATTCTGCCTTGCTTATCTAGGATCTGCATTAAAGACCAACAACCACACAAACGCTGGACAATGGGCACCGGAAGGAGTTATGAATGTGGCCAAATGGGGTGTTTCTCTGCTTTTTCCAACAAAAGAACGATTCAACACAACAGCCATCATTCTGGGGAGGTGAGAGAAATCAATGGGAAGCTGAGAACAAAAGGGTGTAAAATCAAGAGGTTCTAGAGGGAGAAAAATGCAAGGTAAGGAATTAAAAATTCTGAGACCAATGTCACATCAGAAAACACAGCACCACGGGGGGGGAAGGGGGAGGTTAAATCTCACAACACAAAAGCCCAAGGGAGGGCAGTTGTAATCTTGCCAAAAAGAAACAAAAAGCCCACCTTAAGATATCCTCAGTTCTCTCACTTACATGTATGCTGGAGAAAGTGGCGACGACCTGGATGTTTTAAGCACAGGAACAGGGAATTTCCAGATAGCAGGAGAACTCGTTTTCCATTTCAATGGCATGTTGGTCACCACGATACTACAATAACAGCAAACAGCGTTTCCATAACAGACTACCAACTTGGACTTCCATTCCAGCCTCACGCTACTGACACAACGGTGGCTGTTACTGCCGCTGGGAACGAGCCAAAGGAGCTTGCCAATGACCTTAAACCAAGGCTTCCAATCCAGGAAAGGGGGCTGCAAGGCACCTCGTTTTCAAACCCGGCCATCCCCCTAAAGCAGCGAGACGATGCCTAGCCATCACTCCTACTCCAGAAGGGTGCCACCTCAGTAGGGAAGTATTGACTGCAGTATATATTTTTAAAAGGCTAGAGGGAGGGAGAAAGAGAGAGAGAGAGAGAAAAGGAGGAAGGAAGGAAGGGAGGGACTGCACAGTTCACAATGCAGCTTTAGTCTACAATAAGATTGTCTCGCTCCCTCCCACTCAAAGAACAGCCTTGTACCGCTATTGTTCTACCTTCACACTGCAGCACTGTACTACATTCTGTCCCTATTAACCTGATTTCTGACCAATAGTAGCAGGAAAAAAAGAAAAGAAAGAGGAAGGGGAAGGGGGAGAAGAGACAGGTTCCATAATGAAAACAAAGCCACATACCGACTCAGAATACACTTGTCATCCTCTGAACATTCCTCCTTTGGGCTGCAACAAGACAAGTGGGAGAGGAATCTCAGCATAGCCTTGGGCCACGCGGCTAAGAAAGATCAGGGACCAAAGACAGCCGCTCGCTTTCCGTCTGTTGTGCGAGAGCCAAACAATGCAAGAATGCCATGATGGAAAAAGCCTACCACAAATAAGATATACATATATTCTTTAGAAGGGGAGGAAAAGAAGGGGGGGAAGCAGTCTTTTCTAATCCATCGTTATAGAGACGGAACGAAAGTGCAAGGATACATTTCTGCGGTTTCCTGCACGTTGCTCCAGATCGCTTCGGAGTCCAGGCGCTCTCATTTTGCCTGCCTGCGACTTCCAGGCGAGATGAGGAATACGCTCATGCATTTTACAAGACACTCTGGGAACATAAATGTTGCCCTCCGTCTTCTGTCTGCAGCAGGGAAATGGAGAGCAATGTGTGGCTCGCAACCGTCCTCGCAAGGACGAGATCAACAATCAAACAGAGCAGCCCCCCCTCCCCATGAGAGCTCACAGACTGCCTGAAGTCCTGACGAAGCAACGGGGCATGCAGGTGTCCGTCACATACACCCTCGTCTGTGGTCTATTTGGTGGTGACCTCCAGGGGCAAGCAGCTACCGGGGGACGCATGTGCATGCATTTTTGAAAAGTGCACTTAAAGAGACCATTTATCCACCTGAGAAAACAACAACTCTATGCGGAGGACTTATTCTAAAGGGGGTGAGAGGAGACGGCCGAGAAAACAACAACTCTTATTCTAAAGGGGGTGAGAGGAGACGGCTATAGGACGGCAAGAAATTTTACTCCAAACCCCAGAGAGGTGATGGAAAGGGGTGTCAACAGCTACACCTACAGAGAAGCACCAATGCTAACATACTAGAATAGTAGGTCTGCAAGTGGGCTCCGTCCCTGGTTTTTATGGGCTTCAGAGCATGCTTCTCTCGCTGTGGCAAGCTGCCACCAGAGCAGGCTCCTGTTCAGCAGCATGGCTAAACGCCTCCCCAGAGAATAATCAAACTGTAATACAAATGGCAACAATAGCTAAAGTGCTTCTTTCATTCTTGGATGATGGGTATTTTTGCCGGGCTTCACCCTGCTATCTTCTTTTGGTTTGCAAGTCATGAAAAACTGCAGTTGTAGCACCGCTGTCCAGATGAAGCCCAAACATGAATGTAAAGATGCTTAGTTATAAATCCAATAATCCTAATCTTGCCCAGCATGCAGAAGAGATGGAATAATGTGTGAACATGGCATCTGGGAGGAAAACATCTTATCCAGCATGCGGAAGAGATGGAATAATGTGTGAACATGGCAAGCATGTTGCTCAGAATGGACATTTCAAATCAGAAGGGCACATGCTGTATGTGAGCTGACTCTGTTATCTCTAGCACTTCATTCTAAATCGTGAGATATTAAAACTACACACACTCAAATCTTGCAGGACTATAACAATCTAGTTTTGCTGATAAGACCAGTTCAGACTGATTGCCGATAAAAACAGATTTACTGAAGCATGCAGTGAACACCAAATACTGATTCTACGAATTTGGATTGCAGTCTCACATTTGCATGCGGAGCGGTGTCTACTTTTTATGCGTGCACTACCGACAGTGCATGAACTATGCTAATTTACACAGACAGCTCAACAGACTGGACCCTGCCACCTTCTGCGAATCTTCTGCATGACGTGCCCAAGAGATGTTGGCTATATTTGCAATGTATACCTACAACATACATATTATGTAATCTTCACAATCTCTCTCATGCCAGACTGGCATTCTTCATGCAGCATGGCCCACTCAAAGCATCAAAATTAGCAAATCTTAAGGGAACAGTAAGAGAACATCTCCCACCTTCAACACACACAAACGCAGAGCACACAAGAGAGAGAGAGACAGAGAGAGAGATGAAGGGCAATGAGGTCACCTGCTGTTCAAGCTGAAGCACTACCTGGCTGTAGAAGCAAATGCAAGGTTGCTGCTTATGAAACAACAGAATGTGCTAACTCTGCTAAGCATCAGTACAGAAGGCATTATGGAGGCAAGGGTGTAAATAATCAATTTTCACCAGTAGCCAAGGTTAGTCAAGCCACAAGAAGAGTAAACTTTCTGAGACACTCAGCATTCCTCAGCTCTGGACCCACCCCGCAAAGGACTGCAACTCAGAAAGTCATCGTGAATCATATTGTCTCCCAATATGCACCCAAGGCTGCGGCTCAGGGCCACTCACTCCACAAATGAAAAAACAGATACAACGAACACACAATGAGTTATTATACTATTTCAACACAATTAAACAGACTGTGATCCGAGAAAACAAGAGTAACAATTTTCAATCGGTTCAGATATAGTATCTCCGAAACAATCCATAAATTATTCTGCTCTCTCTAGGTGAACCTGCAACCCTAACTAGCATATAGAAATAAGGTTCTTTTGGCAGTAAATTCTCTGGAATGACTGCTATTTTTGTGTAAATTTTCCCACGAAAAGGAGATATTCGTAGCAATGAAATACCATGCCGCAGACAAATAAGAAAATTCTCTCTTTGGGAAACTAAATAGATCCCCACCCCCAGGCTCACGATCAGCTTATGGGGAGATGGAAGATATTTGTCAAATAAGAAGACCACCAGTGACTCTCTCCAGTTCTGGAATGAAATTTGGCTCACTTGTCCGAAGTGTTCTTCTAAGTCAGTGGTTCCCTACCATGGGTCACCGGATGTTCTTGGACTACAACTCCAATAAATCACTGGCCAGTACAACAAGCGGTAAGGTTTCTGGGAGTTTTACTACTAATCTACAGCTCTTCCAATAACATGTGGAAGATCTGATTCATGATACGATCATGCTTCGCAGCAGGAGGATAGACTAGTTGACCTTCCACTTCTCTTTTGCCTTATGGCCCTAAATAGAAATGAAAGCCTCAGATACATCAGCTCAAACAGCTGCAGACTCATCTTTCTCCAGGGAAGTAATCTGAACAGATGGTGGGCTGCATTTTCTGCATGGCGCCACATCCTTTTACCATATACACACAGATACAAAATTAACTGGGGATGCAGACAGCAGCACTATACTCTGGCACAAACATTTTTATTTCTAAAGGAAATAGACTGTGCATAGTAGACCTGCAAACAGCACACTGTAGGCTAGCATGCAAAATCATACGCATTACGATTAAATAAAACTAGAAATATGCACATACCAGTATCTGGAAGACTAAATAACACATTTCAGACAAAGAGCTATACGCCCCTCAAAAGTGAGAATGTCGTCAGCCCTTGTGATGGAAAAAAGGGAATCTGAAATACAATAACATCTAAGGCTCATCACGATTTCCCTGACTGACTAAAGAGACAAATGTGGTGAATCACAGAATGCACAGCACATACGGGGAAGAAGTAATGGAAAAGTCTGAGACCTCAAGCTACCATATGCCTTCTGTTGGGAGATACTGTATTAATAATGCTTGGCATTTGGGTGCCAAGGCGCTGAACTGGCAGTACAGGTTTTTGCCATGCAGCTCTGCCCATACATTTTTGTTCTTAATTGGCTTTATCATTTCTGGATAAACCTGTTTGATTTCTAAATGTCTCCCCTCCAAAGTAGTTTTGAAAACATATCCTTGGCAAATGATCACACTACAGGTTAGCAACACATTTGGAAATATGGCACTAAGATTTTTGCAGACTGAAAGCAACTGCATTTATGTTCTGCCTACATAGAGCTGAGCTTGAGCAGAATGAAAAGGAAGCTGAATGTTTGGGCTCAACAAAGCTATACTGTATTTTCCTTCTAAACCTAAGAGAACAAAGAATGTGAGCAGAAACGAGCAGGGAGACTAAGAGCTGGCTGCAAAGTTTAGAAGCAAACAGACCATGTTTGCTTTCATTCTGCTGCTGTTGCCTTTATTCTTAGAACCATAGAACTGCAGAGCTGGAAGAGACCCTATGGATCATTGAGTCCAGCCACTATCAAGGAGGCACAGTATGGAATCAAAATCCCAACCTCTGGCTCTGCATACCTTAACCACTGAGCTATCCAGCAGTTCTGCTGCTGTTAACCTCCTGAGCCCCCATGCATGCACTATAGAAAGACTCACTGGAAAGAACATGCAGGAAGTTCAAGGACAACTCCTGTGACCTGAATTAACTAACCAGAGTGTTGTCTTGCAGTGCAGGACAAGACATCAAGATGCTTGTTTTGCTTCCCGTTCAGAGTCACTGAATACTAGGCAAAAATTAACACCCCAGGGACTTTCCTCCCGTTCTTGTCTCATACAGTCTTCCTCTCCAAATATCTGATGTGACAAAGACTTTTGAGGAAGAGGGTGGTTCAGCTTGTAGGCTTGCATATACTGAGTCAGGATTGTGCATGTTTTTCTAAAGACATGCCATTGCTGTCCAGGGACAAAAGAGTAAGAGATACATGTTTGGTTAGCATCGAACTATGCTTTCTAGACCTTGTTTAAGCAAAAGGTCATCTGTAACTATTCAGTATTCCCCAGAACACGCTTGTGGTAGACCTTTGCAAAGACAACACATATAACTAGTTCTCTTCAGCTATGTTGTTAAAATAAGCAGCAGAAGGCATACTTCAGGGTCACTAATGGGGGACCCCAGGTTCCTCCAAAATGCCCTCACATAAGTTGTAATCATTTGCGCCCACCCACACTGTAAGCATATACATGTCTCGGGAGCATTTGAGAACTTTATTTCAGTCTGGGGGTGTAGCACTCCACATTTTTCCAGACTAACAGAAGCTATTAGGAAGGAAGGAAGAAAAAACTCCAGTGAGTTCTCAACGTAATAGGTTCTGTGCATCTGACACACAGATAAGAACATGCAATCTGCAGCTACAGTTTTATTAGAGCTGTCTGGGAAGTACAATGCATTTCTGGAGAAAACAGCCAGGCACTCGGCCGCAAAAGAAACAGAGACATTCATTTAAGAGAGGAATACCCAAACGTGGAGACTCACGTGTTCTCAGACTGCAACACCAAGAAGTCCTAGCCAGCACAACCAATGGTCAGTGTATCTGTGTGTTATACTGTAGTCCAAGAATGTCCAGGGGCCCTCATGTTAGGGAACCACTGAGCTAAGATAGGAACTTAACCTCAAATTATTCTACAGTTCAGTCATAGGTCAATACAGGGCACTGTTGATCCCTCTCAGACATGTTGGCCAGAGATACAAAGCTCGTGATCAAAATAAAGCCACAAAACATTCAGGATTCTGAAATCCTATTGCTCCAAGAAAAAAATGCAGAAGGATCTTTTGGTGCACCAAACTGTGGACCTAGATTGCTGGGAGCAGTTATAAGAACTGGACCCCTAATTATAACAGCTTCATCACCACCATAATATCCTTTTCTTGGTGTATTCTGAGACAGCTCAGATTTAATCACCTCTCTCATGCTCAAACACACAA